CGGTCTTTGGAAAACTCCATTGAACACTCGGGGCATGAGAGTGGAAGCCAAAATAGCATCTTGGCGTTATTGTGCAGATAGTTTGACCTCGCTCAAATTACACATTGAGAACCGCTGCTCTAAGCAAATATGCAGGCTGGGGTTCCATTTTACACAGGCAGACAGGGGCTCAGTGAGATAGAGTGATTTTTCAAGGTCACACTCTGGGCTGTCCGGGATAGGATTCTACCCTAGGTCGCCAGACACTTCCCCAGCCTCCACCCTCGCCCACGAGGAGCCCTCGTCGTCTTCAAGTCACCTTCTTTCTCCCGGGCAGGTGGAACCGCATCGTGGAGTTGGTGGAACAGCGCAAAGAGGAGGTGAGCGCGGTGCTGCTGGTTGAGAACCACGTGCTGGAGGTGGCCGAGGTGCGCGCCCAAGTGCGCGAGAAGCGGCGGGCGGTGGAGAGTGCACCCCGCGCCGGCGGCGCCCTACAGTGGCGCCTTAGCGGTTTAGAGGCCGCTCTGCAGGCTCTGGAACCCCGCCAGGCAGCCCTTCTGGAGGAGGCATCTCTGCTGGGGGCGCGCTTCCCGGCCCAGGCGGCGCGGCTGCACCAGGGCGCAGAACAGCTGGGCGCGGAGTGGGGCTCTCTAGCCAGCGCGGCTCAAGCCTGCGGCGAGGCGGTGGCGGCGGCTGGGCGCCTGCAGCGCTTCTTACATGACCTGGACGCTTTCCTGGACTGGCTCGTGCGCGCCCAAGAAGCAGCGGGTGGCAGCCAGGGGCCCCTGCCCAACAGCCTAGAGGAGGCGGACGCGCTGTTGACGCGACACGCGGCGCTCAAGGAGGAGGTGGACCAGCGCGAGGAGGACTATACACGCATTGTGGCCGCCAGCGAGGCGCTACTGGCGGCCGACGGCGCAGACCTAGGCCCGGGCCTGGCGCTGGACGAGTGGCTGCCGCACCTCGAGCTTGGCTGGCACAAACTGCTTGGCTTGTGGGAGGCACGCAGGGAGGCACTGGTCCAGGCCCACGTCTACCAGCTTTTCCTGCGCGACCTACGTCAGGCACTCGCGGTGCTGCATGACCAGGTGTCCGCTACGCGTGTGCCGGTGTAGGGGGGGCTCCAAGGTCGACTCGGGGTTGGAGGAACAGGGAAGTGTGTATGTTTGTGTGTGCGTGGGGGTATTTGCTGGGATCACTGGGTTCGTAGCTTATCTGAGGTGGATGAGAGTTGAGAGAGCGTTTGGAATGGATGACTTGAGTTTGTGGATCCTTCAGTGTGAGTACGTAGGCGCTAATTCCGTGTGTGGCAGCCTGCAGACTATCCCAAGTAAGTAATGCCCTTGGATTTTATTGGAGTGGCTTTCTGGGTTTGTGGATTATCTGGAAGGAAATAAGAGTATGAGGTTGGTTGATGGTGGTTAAATGGGGTTCAAAGAAGACCTGGGGGCGGATAACAAAGGATTAATATTGTGGAGGTAGACAGGCTGGAAGGTTATTGAGGTAAGTAAGGATGGATTTTTTGGTTCTGGGTGCCTAAATTAGTAAATTATCTTCATTATTGGGGATGACAACTTACAGAGTCTCTGGAGAGGGTAATTGTGTTTATGGCTTGAGCAACCAAATGCAATGGTTATCTAGGGAGACCTGATCCAGTTTGGAGATCGTTCTGGGTGGGTGGGGGAACCAAGTTTGAGGATTTTGGCAAGAATCCACTCAGTTTTTATTTTGTTCAAGAATAGGCACCAACGTTGGGGATCATGTCAGAAAGAGTGGTCACCTGTGCTGGTTAGCTATGGGATACTGACCAGTTTGGGTATTAGCAGGGTGGGGGGACAGAGAGCCCCTGAATCATGAGATTATGAAATATGGAGCTGAAGTGGACTTGAGAGACCCTTTCTGACCCACCCATTTTACCAGTTAGAAAACTAACCCCAGAGGAGAAAGAACTTCCTTGAGGTCACAAAGTACCCTGTTAATCAAATACTTACTAAGTACCTCCTCTGGGCAAGGCACTATTTGGGGGCTGAGCACACCTCAGGCAACAAAACACAAAATCCCATCCTCATGTGGCTGACATTGTATTATGTGGGTAGAAGTGAGTAAACAAGTAAATGCAGATGCAGAGGGTAACCAGAAATGTATATACATGTTTAGAAAGGATTTTCTTTTATTTGTTTGTTTTTTGTTTTTGTTTTTTTGAGACAGAGTCTCACTTTATCACCCCAGCTAGAGTGCCATGGCATCGTTGTAGCTCACAGCAACCTCAAATTCTTGGGCTCAAGCAATCCTCTTGCCTCAGCCTCCCAAGTAGCTGGGACTACAGAGGCCCACCACCATACCTAACTAGTTTTTCTATTTTTAGTAGAGACAGGGTCTCACTCTTGCTCAGGCTGGTCTCTGAACTCCTGACCTCAGGATCCACCTGCTTCAGCCTCCCAGAGAGCTAGGATTATAGACGAGAAAGGACTTGTAATACTCAAGTCGTGTTTGACTTCTGTGATTACAAGAGGTGCCCAATATGACTTGTATTCTTCTTTTGTTATCAGTATATATGGAAAACAGTTTTTTCTTTTCTTAAAATGTGCATACATTTTTGGCACCTTCTGTATAAGATTGTCAGGTAGTTTATACATGTTATGTATGTAAGAAATAATTTGACAAGGTAAGGAAAATGGCTAGGATGGGAATTGATATTTTTGGCAGGGTAGTCAGAGACCTGAAGAAAGTGATGGAGCCAGTGGACGGGGTATCTAGAGGGACAGACTACCAGGGGGAGGGGAAAGCATGGGCAAAGGCCTTGTGGTAGGACCATGCCTGGAATGTTTACTGCTAGCGAGGGGGACGAGAGGGTGGCAAGCCAGGCTGGCAGCCTCTTCTGGGTCCTGGAATGGAGTGAGGCTGACCCTTGTGCCACCACTGCCCCTTTTCAGGAGATGGCATTATCTGGTGTGGAGCTCCCAAGCACAGTGGAGTCAGTGGAAGAAGCGTTGAAGCAACACCGGGATTTTCTCACCACCATGGAGCTGAACCAGCAAAAGATGCAGGTGGCCATGCAGGCTGCAGAGGGCCTGCTAAGGCAGGGCAATGTCTATGGGGAGCAGGCCCAGGAGGCTGTGACCCGGCTGCTGGAGAAGTAGGTCCCCCAGGCTCCAGGGCACAGGGTGTGGGTCCTGGGCACAGGGGAGGAGGGTAGGAAGCCAGGGTCCTGCTTCTTTCTGTGATGATTTCTGCCTCTCTGCCCTTTGCTGATTTCTATTCAATTCAATATTGTTTTAGATTTGATTTAAATGGCATTTTGTGAAAAGGTAATACAAGGTTGAGATACAGGAGGGAATGAGATGCATTCTACCTTCCTAGTCATTTACTTGTCTAGAGAGACACAATTCCCACCCTATGAGGGGCTTTCTACACACATGAGGGGGCCAGGACTAGGTAGAGCTGGGAGTTTGGGTCTTACTCCTGCCTCTACCATCCAACCTGTGAGAGTCAGAACAAGTCACTTTGTCTGTGCTTCACCTTGCCTGGAACCTCACCTGGAATTTGTATTCTTATCTGCATTTTGTACATGAAGCTCAGAGAAGGAAACAGACTTGCCCCAAGGTCATAGCCAGAAAGTGGCACAGTTGGGATTAGAACCTTGTTTTCTCACCCTCAGGGAGACAGGGATTTTCCTCATTCCCTAGGACTGACACTTGACAGCTTGGCTGGTGAGGCTGAAAGGAATTGATTTCAGCTCAATTTCAGAGGCATTTCCTATTTCCTGCCTCCTGAGCTGAGTCCCAGCAGGAGGCAGGCACTACTGTGCTTGCTTGTCTCAGGCCCTTCCTGTTTTCTCTGATTCTTTCTCTGAAATTGTCTCCCACACACTCTATCACTTTTCCTCCATCTATCCATTTCTGTGTCTGTTTCCTGCCCTCTCTGTTTTTTTCTCCCTCTCTATCTTTCTAACCCTGACTTCTGCCTCTCTGTCATTATTTTTGTTTCTCCTATCCCTCTTTCTCTCTGCCTCTATGTCTCTCTTGCATTAATTCATTTAACAAAAGTACATTGAGCACCTACTCTGTGCCAGGCTCTTTTTCTGGGCATTGAGGATATACGTATGAGCAAACCACATAAAAACCCCTGTCCTCAATGAAATGACATCCCAGTGTGAGACAGACAAGACAAATAAGTAACATATATGATATGTTAGATCATGTTAAGTGCTAAGGAGAAAATCAAAGATGGAAAGAAAGCCAGAAAGCTCTGGGTAGTAGTAAGGACAGACTTCACAAAGAGGAACCCCTGCCGGGGGGAAAGAGCATTTCAAGCAAAGGGAACAGCCAGTGCCAAGGCCCTGTAGCTTGTTCAGGGCACAGCAAGGAGGGCATATGTTTGTCTCAGAGTGAGAGAAGAGTTTGAAAGGGTAGGGGCAGGCGGAAGTGTATAGGATCTGGAAGTCATGAAGATCCTGAGGGAGACCTTGGGAAGAGAGTCTCATTCTCCCTAGGCAAGACTGATAGTGACAGGCTCAAATGGAAGCCACTGTAGGATGCCTCAGCCCCCTCCACCAGTCCTTCTGGGTACTCTGTCCTGCAATGCTGTCAGGAGGTCAGGCTGCCTGGGGCTGTGGTCCCAACTGGCTGCGGGGTAGTAGGGCCTGTGTCCAGCCTGGCCAGTTCACTCTGGTCAAGGACCTGACTCTCCCTGCCAGAGCACCCACTCCCGTCTCCCTTTGGTTCTGCTGCCGTCTGTCCCCACACCTTGTGCTATTTCCTCTCCCAGCTCTGTGGCCCCCTGTGTCTGTCTGTCAGACTGTTTCTTTTCCTGGTGGCATCTTGCCACTTCTTTACCTGTCCCTCTCTGGGCTGACCCTGCCCTGACTCTCTTGACTTTCTTGCTCTCTGCCACCTCCTCTTTCCTTTGCTGTTCTCTTTTTCTCTTTTGGTCTCTCGCTGGCTGTACCCCCTACTCCATCTCTTTCCTTATCTCTCCCTATTCTCTCTCTTTCTGAGTCTCTGCCAGTCATTCCCTTGTGAGATTTCTGTTTATCTCTAAGCCTCTGGTCTTATGTCTGTGTGTACATGTCTCTGTTCATCTCTCTTTCTCTCTGTGTATTTATCTTTATCTGCATCTCTCTGATGTCTCACCTGCTCTTTGGGTTTTTTGTCTCTAGTATCTCTTTGTCTTTAGTTCTCTGTTATTTTTCTCTCTGGGCTTATGTCTGTCTGTCTTTCTTTCTCCAAGTGTCTGTATTTCTTTCTTTCCAGATATCTGTTCCCCTCTCCCTCTCTCTCTCCCTCCTTTCCTCTGTCTCTCTCTTTGCCTCTCTCCAGCCCAGTCCCTTGCTCTGCCTCACTAACGGTTCTTTGCCTTTCCCAGACTGTCTCTTCCCCCATTCCTACCTTGGTCTCTCCTTGCTCTTACATAGGCCCCAGGATCCCCTTCCCTCCTGTGCTTGATGCCCTCACAGTCGTACTGGTAGCGTTAGCCCCTCACCTCCCACCAGAATCCCCTTCTCTCCCACTCCCTGGACCTCTCCCCAGCCCTTATCTCCCCATCCCCAGGAGCCAAGAAAATCAACTACGGGCCCAGCAGTGGATGCAGAAACTGCACGACCAACTTGGGCTGCAGCACTTCCTCCGAGATTGCCAAGAGGTAGGACCTCCAGCTGTGCTGGGGATGGTTCCCTGGCAGAAGTGGGGGCGGGGACGCACCGTCTAAGTGGGTCGCGAAGCGATGCTCACTCTACGCCGCCAGGAGGCGCGCGGGGGCCCTGTCTCAGTGCGCATGCTTTACAGTTCCCGGTCCGCCCACGCCAGCTCTGGGGAAGGAGAGAGGGCCCCGGGAGCCACTGGCAACGGCGCGCGTTCGCGCCTACGGGTCCCGCGGGGACGCGCTCTGATCTCACCTTAACCTCTGGAGATTTGGGAGAACCGCTCTACTCCCAAGAAGGGCAGAGCTGGACTGGGGGTGAAGAGAGAGTGGCGGGTAGACCAGCGGCCCAGAGCGTTCCTTCAGTCAGAGATGGTGCTGAACCAAGGCTTCTCCCCTTTAAAGGTCTCCAGGAATCAAGGTCCTCTCCCTCAGGGATTATGTAAAGTAGGGATCTCCCCAAATCAGATGGCCCCAGCCCCTCTTCCTTATTAGGGAGACTCGCTGACTGCCCCTTCTCTCCTTGCATTCCATAAAAACTGTTCTGGACTCAGGCCACATCAGAGCTAATGTTTCTGGCCCAGTAAACATTTTCCTAACCCCCAGACAGTTCTGGCCCCAAGCTCCTCCATCTGTTGTAACCCAGGATCATTCCCTTCCCCCAGTCAAAGTTTCTTACAACTAAAGATGGTTCAAGAACCAGGTCCTTGACCCCCTTACTCCCAATTAAAGATGGTTGACTATCCATGCTGAATCTTTATGGATGAAACACGGCCCCATAACTGAGGTAGACGGAGACTCAAGCCATTAGAGATGGGTCCAGGAACCCCCTGTTCCTCCTCGTCCCCATTGGAAATAGTTCCGGACTGAAGTATTATAAGAGATGTTCGGTTCCCCCTCCCATATCCTCTACCCCATATGGTTGTCAGGAACCCCAATCTCTTTCCAGCAGAGATGTTCAGGAGGCCCTTTCAGTGTCCTCTACCCCTACTCCCCATCTTCACATAGCTGAGGTAGCCCAGGTTTCAGCGCCTCCCCCATTAGATTTGGTCCTGGAACACCTCCACCCCCGCCCCGTGAGATTGTTCTGGACCAGTAGCAATCATCTGAGATGGAGCAGAAGCCCCTCACCGCCCGGAGCTTTAGGAAGGGTGGTGATTCCTCCTCCACCCCAACCGGGGCCCGGCAAGGAGGCGGGCATGGAGGCAGGC